CCTGCTTTCAGCTAAGATCCATCTAACATTAGCTACAATATCCCTAGTACCACGACCCCTTCTAAACCCAGCTTGGAATTCTGGCAGCTCTCTGCTGCTGTGTTGTTCCAGTAGTTTTTGGATAATCTTCAGTAGAATCTTGCTTGCATGTGAAATTAATGACATTGTTCTATAGTTTCCATACTCTGTTGGGTGACCCTTTATTGGAATGGGAACAAATATAGATCTCTTCCAGACAATTGGCCAGGTGGTTGTTCTCCAGATTTCTTGGCACACCTTGGTGAGTACATCTAGGGCAGCATCTGTTAGCTGAAATATGTCAATTGGTATACCATCTATTCCTGGGGCCTTATTTTTTGCTATTTCCTTCAAAGCATCTTGACCTTCTTCCTTCATCACCATAGTCATATGTTGTTTCATTAAATTCTTCTGTGTCTGCAAATTCCTTTTGATACAGTGACTCAGTATATTCTTTCCATCTTCTTTTAATAGTTCCTGGATCATTTAATATTCTTCCTAAAGCATCCTTGATTATAGCAACTCGAGGTTTGAATTTTTTCTTCAGTTCCTTGAGTTTAAGAAATGCTGAGCGAGTTCTGCCCTTTTGATTTTCTGACTCCACCTCCTTACACATTTCATTTTAATATTTTACTTTGTCTTCCCAGGTTGCCTTTTGAAATCTTCTATTCAACTCTTTAGTATCTTGAATTCTTCCCTCTGCTTTGGCTTCTCTGTGCTCCAGTGCAATTTTTAGAGTCTCTTCTGACATCCATTTTGGTCTTCTCTTGGATTTTTACCAACTTTTACAGTTGGAGATCGATCGAACATGCAATCAAGATGCATTGATAATAATGGGTGACTGGAATGCAAAAGTTGGGAATAGAGAAGGAGATTTAGTAGTTGGAAAACATGGACTCGGTGACAGAAATGGAGCCGGAGAGAGGATGATTGAATTTTGCACAATCAATGACTTATTAATTACAAATACATTTTTAAGAGACATAAACACAGGTTATATAGATGGATTTCACGGGATGGTATGCATAGGAATCAGATCGATTACATCTGTGGAAAGAACCGCTGGAGAAGCTCAATATCAGCTGTGAAAACTAGGCCAGGAGCTG